AAGTTGTTATTCAACCTATTTATAGAATTCATAATTTTTAAATCTAAAAACAGACCTTAATAAGCTCTAGATACTAGAATTTTACCACTGTTAAAGAACAAGGTCAGACTACTTACGAGAAATTTTGCGATCTTAACAGTATCTTTATGTAGTCTTACGGTAAGATGAAATTAACATTAAATAATTCTTCTAACTCTGAATTCAACAAAAATTCAATCTTTGAGCAATTAAAATTATTTTAAGTTGCCTGTACACATCAAAGCTAGATTGCTTTCTATGAATAACAAAACACATGCATCATTTCTTGATAAGATCATAACTTGTATCAAAATTACTCACCACGTGCATCAATTCTTGATAAGATCATAAACTGTATCAAAATTAAGTTAGAGCCCCCCCCCAGTGAAGCTGTCAAAGCAAAGGTCTGCCATAACCCCTCTCGACTAAAGTTTAGTTTTTAATCTCTCTATAAAATCATGAAATTCGGGGTGCCTGGGTGGCTTAGTCATTAAGCGTCTGCCTTCAGCTCAGGTAATGATCCCAGGGTCTTGGGATTGAGCCCCACATGGGGCTCCCTGCTTCTTCCCTCTTCTTGGTGGGGATCCTGCTTCTCCTCCCATTCCCCCTGCTTGTGTTCCTTCTCTTACTGTGTGTCTCTCTGTGTCTAATAAATAACTAAAATCTTTTTTAAAAAGTCATGAAATTCATTTGTGATGAGAACTGTAGTTTCTTAAACAACAGTAATATGCAGAAAGCCTCAGACCCAAAGATAGGGAAAGATGTTGTTTACCTAAAGATAGACATTTTTTAAAAACTTAATAATTTATCAAATGACACCTCTTCCTTCCACCACACCCTAGCCAGTGGTTTCAACAATTTTTACTCGAGAAATTTTGTGCTACTAATTTCACTGGACTCTATGGAGCTCTGTATCTACTTACGAATTACCTGAATGAAGAAATTAACTAATTTTAATAAAACATTATTCTTAACAAAAAGTTATCCTTCAATTTTTACATCTGCTTTGTCCTACATCTACTGCTAATAAAATTGGTGGTATTTATCAGTGTATGTATCAATTTGCAAAAAAGTCCTAAATTCACTTATCTTTTATAGTCTTGTTCAGGTGCCATGTCCACCAAAAGCATCACTGATTTTACCAACTAAATATGATCTCAAACAAGGGGAACCAGCCAGCAAGCTGGTGAAAAATAAAAGAAAACTCAACTGGTATCCAAGGAAGAAGGAATCAGGACTTGAGAAAATATCTGAAGGAGTGGCCCAAAACAAAAATAGGAATCTTAGTGAAAGGTTAACGAAAGAAAATAGGTAAAACAACAGGAGTGTTAGCAGGCAGAGCCTGGAAAGATACCAAGGCAATAGTATACAGTAAGAAGTCACTGACTAAACCTGTGAGTAAAAGTTCTTAAAAGTTCTGTATCCTTTGGGACACTTAACAAGCAAGGGATATGTGTTACATAACTGAATTTAGAGTCAGAATAGCTGGATTCTAGAGCAAGCTCTGTATTTGCCAGCTTATGACTTGGCAAGGCAACCACTCTGAATTTCAGTCTCCTTTTCTATGAAAAAGTAATAAGAGCTATTTCACATGGTCATTCTATAGGACTAAATAACTTATGTGAAAGTATTTCATAAACTTTAAAAATACAAACGTTAAGTATTATTAAATACCACAGTATGCTGCTTTGTTGATAAGTTTTGCTCATTTTTTACTTTGAAAAATTTCCCAGATGCATATTTAGGAATGAACTTTTATTATGATTGGGTACTGGTTATTTACTTAAAAAATCTGAACATGTAAGTGCTGAATGGCATTGTACCACTACAATTTTATCTCTCAGTATAAATTTTGCCAATAATATTTTCCTGCTTTCATTGTTATAGAAAAAGCAATCTTCTCCTGCTCTCAAATGTGTGTGTGTGTGTGTGTGTGTGTGTGTGTGTGTGTGTGTGTGTGTCCCCATCCATAATTATATACTGGGCATCATTCAAGCTGCTCCAGGCAAAACTTATTAAATCTTTTCTTGACTAATCTTCAGTTTTATCAAGAAGTTCTAATGGAACACTTTTCCAAAGTGTAAGTTCCATATCATTTGCTTAATTGTGGAACACTTTCTTACTCTTTCCCCAAAATATTATGGAAAAACAAACACTTTACAAATGAGGTATGTGGGGCACCTAGGTGGCTCAGTCATTAGGCAACTGCCCTCGGCTCAGGTCATGATCCCAGGATCCTAGGATCGAGCCCAACATCAGGGTCCATGCTCAGAAAAAAGCCTGCTTCTCTCTCTCCCTCTGCCTGCTGTTCTGCCTACTTGTGCTATCTCTCTGTCAAATACATACATACATACATACATATGCTTGAAAATGAAATATTTAAAAGGTAACAAAGAGCAATAAATGGAAATGGGAAAATACTGACTTATGAGGAGTCTCTAGAGAAAAGAGAGAATCTTTAATAATACCATTAAAATTCTACTGGAAAATGAAAAAATGAAATACTTGATCTAAGGTCCTAAGACACACCATCAATTTAAGTTCTGGTATTCAACAAATCAGGTTTGAGTTAGGCTTGTGTAAACAACAAATACTTTAAGTTTATACACTTGCAAAATAGTGGGATTTTATACAACATAAAATACATTCTACATTAGGATAAATAATGTGTAAGCAATTAAACAGTAATAAATCATATGGAAACTAAAAGCAAAAAGCACATGTTGTACAACCTATACAACTGTATACAATATGTCAATCATACTTCAATAAAGTTTGGGGGGAAAGGACTAACATAAATCATTAAAAAAAAAGAAAACCAAAAATAGTATTAAATTTAGATTTAGGATGATCTTCATCAGGACCTTTTCTATACTGGAACGTTTTGATTGCTTATTCACAAAAGGGGAAATAAAAAGAAATGAAAGTGGAAGTAACTATCAATTTAATAATTTACATTTAAATTAAGGACGCTAATTGAAGTGGTCACTGCTAGAATTTTACACCAGCATTTTTAAGATTCTGAATAAATTCGTTATTTACAAGTCTCCGGATAAATGTAAGTACCCCTGAGGGGGAAGAAAATGAAGTACAGCTTTTGAACATAAGACTGAAATTCCTTTACTAAATACTTCCTAATATAACAATTTCTGGATTATTATTAGCCAATGCCAAACAGCAATTAAGAATAATTAATAAGAAAAGATAATTAAAATAAGTGAACTTACAGTTTTTGCTAATTCAAATAGTCTAGAAGCTAAAACTCCTATGTATCAACAACTTCTCCTTTAAAACATAATACTAAGTCACTGGGTGTAAGTAGGGCTTAAGTATGTAAAAGTCAGTAAATACTAGATATTCAGTAAAAAATAACTTCCAAAACCTTACATTTCTAGGAATCAAGTGATAACAAAAAAATAATAATAAAAATAAAAATCTAATACAATTAGTAAGAATTTTAAAAGTAACTCAGTTGAAATTTCACATAAGTTTGTATCTTTACATTAAAAATTTCAAGAGTGGGCTGCCTGGGTGGCTCAGTGGGTTAAGCCTCTGCCTTCAGCTCAGGTCATGATCTCAGGGTCCTGGGATCGAGTCCCACATCGGGCTCTCTGCTAGGCAGGGAGCCTGCTTCCTCCTCTCTCTCTCTCCCTACTTGTGATCTCTCTCTGTCAAATAAATAAAATCTTAAAAAAAAAAAAATTTTTTTTCAAGAGAGGCATCTGGGTGGCTCAGTCAGTTAAGCATCTGACTCCTGATCCCAGCTCAGGTCTCTATCTCATGATGATGAGTTCAAGCCCCACGTTGGGCTCCCTGCTGGAACGTAGAGCCTACTTAAAAATTAATTAATTAATTAAAATCAAATGAATATTTTAAGATGTTTTTGATCAGTCCTTGCTTTGAAATCATCCCCAAGTCACATATATATCTTTTCATAATAATACACATATATTTTTGGGGCGCCTGGGTGGCTCGTTGGTTAAGTATCTGCCTTTGGCTGATCATCATCTCAGAGTCTTGGGATCAAGCCCGGCATCAGGCTCCTTGCTAAGCAGGGAGCCTGTTTCTCCCTCTCCTCCCCACTCATGCTCTCTCTATTTCATATTTCTCTCTTTCAAATAAATAAAATCTTTAAGTACACACATATATTTTTGAAAAACCTATGTGTTGATAATTTTTATTAACTACTAATATTTTTAGCATTTAAGAAAATATATTCATTTTTCAAAAGAATACACTATGTATTTTAAACAATTTTTATTTTCTGTACCAGTCATGTTAGGTAATATTTTAACTCCAGTGATTTGGGGCTAATAATTAGCTATACTTGACATTATGTAATATTACCCTAGTATTCACATTAATTCTCTAAACAATTGCTAAATAGTGATAACATCACTATGAAGAATCTACATTAAGTTCCAAATGACACTTCTCTCAAACCTACCCTTACAAGAAGTACTGAAGAATCATGCTCATTTTACAATATAAAGTATATTCATAAATAAAACCAAACATCCATAATTTTAATACATTTTAATGTTCACATCAAAATATAGTACAATGCCTTCATTAATTAACAGCAGCACTGTATATTATAGGAATCTGCAGGCAACACAAATTATTTTTATAAAAATATTTTCTTAAATCTAGACAATGTAAAAATTCTTTTAAAAAATTTAAGTTTGAAGATAATTTTTTATAGCCAAGGATACCACACTGCTTAATTTTGAGCCAATGTAAATCTGATCTATCGTTATGGCATTTATTTACTGAGCAATCATAGTATAGAAAGAGCTAAATATTCATATGATTCTTTTAAGTATAAGATTAGCCATTTAAAGCATATAATCACCATTAAAACCAATTATATGTCATATAAAAAGAATCTGAAAATACATCAAAAGACCACTTTGTTTGTATAGGCTTTCAAAAATGACATAATTTAAAATGTTTTTAAATTTACACTTTTTACTACTTACTTAAGCAAGAGCGTTTGCCAGCTGTGCTTGCACCACCTGAACACAAATTGCCTCCCCGATGAATTAATTCAAGTTCCAAATTGGTTCTGTAAGTAAAGCATTAAAATATATCTCAATTAGGCTGAAGCGATACTTTTTAATTTGTTTTAATGATCTGTCTGAATGAACCTAAATAATAAAGTTGACGAACTTTATGAATAGTTTATGGAATATCTGTAATAATATTTTATCTGATATTTAGAAATAAAAAGGGAAACATATCCTTATATGTTCATATTTATAACCTCAAAACTGTACACATCATAATGTAATTGTTGCAAAACCCCAAATGTTGGCAAATACTGAAAACTGGGCCTTAAGGAAAACAACAGCAACACACTTCATAAACCCGCACATGAATCTGGCAAAAGAGCTTACACCCAACTGTTAGCCACTGAGTAGTAGGTGGTTACTGTCATCTAAAACACAAGGGCATACCAACTTTTTATCAGAGAAATGATTATCACTCACTAGAGCTTAGATGGTTTCTAGAAATCAATATTAAACAAAATCACTAACATCATAGTAGGTATGAACAACACATATAATGAACAGTAGCCTCTTCTATGGACTTCTAAAATTACAGTTTTATTAAAGTACACTGTGTAACTCCTGACACTGCTAAACATCAAAAAAGTTCGTATAGATCTGAAATTATAATATATTTAGCAATTTTTAGCTTACAGATTAGTTACAATTAGTAAATTGACATTTTAAAAATCTAATTGCTTCAGAATCTAAAGATTTACTCAAAAAAATATAGTAAAATAGCCAATGAACTTTGTCAGAATAAATGAAAATTGTGAGTGATATAATGCATGTATTTTTACTTCAACAGTATTAATAAACTTAAACACATCTTCATTTGCCATTGCTAAAACTGAATAAACTAATTTATATCCAAAATATGCATTTGACATTAGCAATGAGATATCCTCGTCTTAAAAAAAAAAAAAAAAAAGGCAAAATTTTAAGCTTACTTTGCAAATGAATTCAAGGAAGAATATGATCCTATTTTACTTAAAACAGTCTGAACTGGTTTGGGTTGTATTTTAACACAAAATGTTTTTGAAACATTATTTTCATATATTTACTTATAAATGCAAACTGTTAACAAAATTAATATTCTTAAATCTGTATATTTGCCACCCATTTTTAAAGGAATGCTTTAATCCTCTCTACTGGGGTAGGGGAAAAGCAATTTAACATTGATAATGTTCCTGCTCAGAGCTCCATCTGGTTGCTGCTGATAAGGGCATCTGTGTGACAAGGGAATTTTCCACCCTTCAGGCGATTTGCATTGCTCACTGAACTTCTAAAAACCTACCAGCAAGGAAGCAGGGACAAGGATTTCATATTAGTGGACAGAAAGCGAGCGGAGACCAGCATGTGTTCCTTCATCAAGGGAATATAAATGAGATCAATATATTTTGTTTTCACAAATCTTCTGTTGCCTAATCTGTAGAAAAAAATTAACGGCTATATTCTCTTATAAAAACTAAGATTTCCTAGATTGTACTTTTAAAAGAGCTAACCAGAAACACGATCAATTTTTACCAACGAATGTCAGAACCAGAATGTCAACTTTTATTTTAGCACAGTTTGCAAAAATATTCATTAAGATATAAATATAAGAACAATTCTCTTTATTCAATCATCAAATAAAATACCTCAAAGGCTGATAAACATGTTACCAGGAGTTTGATTTTAGAGAATATTTGAAAGAAAACTACTAAATCTAATTATTTCAGATTATGGCTAGAAAATCTCTTAAAAAAACATTCCTCCTGACATTAAAAACAAAACAAAACAAAACAAAAAAAACCTACCTATCCAAACAGTTAGTGTCATGTAATAACCTAGGACTTTAAAAATCAATATGTCAGAGGCCCTAACCCTCAGCTTTTCCTGATTTCACTTACATCAAAACTAGCCCTTTAAGTTGAAACTTGCTAAAGAATCGAACACACAAACATGTCATATGCCCTATGACTGTCTGATCTTCTCTAACTGTTGAAAATCCCAACACAATATTCTGTTTCTGCCCTCCTGAATGGATGATAGAAAAATACAGATTGCTCCCAAGAAAAGTAGACTCTACTTTTTATATTCCTAACACAAATCTATTCCAATTAGTTTGGAAAGAAAAAAAAAAAAAAGAATTAAAAAAAAAAAGAAAAAAATATCTGTAACTGAAATAATAATGAGAAAGATTACTTACAGCCTATCTTGGCGCCCACCTACATATTCCATTTAAAAACTCCTCCAACTATGCTCCAGCTTCTTTTTGCATGACTGAGGGCTGCTTTCCCTTCTATCCCCTCTCCACCCTCCTTTGGTATGAACTTCTATTTTTAGAGCTATAATTTAAAAAACAAATGTGTGTATACACATGCACATACAGAGACACTCAAACACGTACTGATGTCCGTGTGGGTTCAAGGCCTAAGCCTACCACTTACTGGTTGAGCAAGTTACCCAATACCTCAGAGAGAAAAAATATCTTCTTCGTTCATACCATAGGCTATATTATACAAGACTCAGCTCAAGCTCTAACTCTTCTAGGAGTTAGGGAGAATTAATTCCCTTTTCTTGAGACAGGAAAGAAACATTTCCAAATACTTTATATTTCAATTTGTTCATCTTCCCTTTTAAAGTTCTATAGCACTTTTTCAATATGATATTTTTAAAACAAACTCTATTCTGTTTTATACGGACTGATGTATATTGGTTTTGTCTCTCCAACTAATGGTAAATTCCTGGAGAGCAGGGACCATTTCAGATAAAGTTTCTAAATCCCTGATGGTACATAGCAAAGTGCTCAAAAATACCTTAGAAACCAGAACTCTCTTTGTTTGGGTATGGAACCAATGGTAAGATTCTCTTTAGACCCCATAGCTTATTCTCTTTATTTTGTTGACCCTTCCTTAGATTCCCTTAAATTCAAACATGAAAAGGGGTGAGGGGAAGGAAAGGTATTTTATCAAAGAATTTCTTGGCTTTAAAAAGGATTCATAATTTGGTATTTTAGCAAACATTCCTTTTATTTTGAAAATACTTAGTTTATAAAGTTTAAACTTATAATGCAACTAGTATGTAAAGTAAGTTGACTCACTCTACTGAGCAGTTCACCCACTGTGACTTAAACATATCTCTCCAGCTATATCTCAGTTATTCATGTTTCATCTTCTTTCCATTTAAATGTTTCTCACTATATACAGGGTGAGTGTCACTCACCAATACCTCTAGGCTATGTGTAACCTGAGTCCAAAACCCTTGGAAAAATCAATTATTAAAATTAGTCTCATTTATTGTTTCAATTAAGAAATAATGAACTGGTATTTAAATGAGGAAAGCTTTCCTCCCCCAAATTAACCTTCCATAATCCATCTGAATGGTATTTGCAACAGACTGCTCTTTGGGAATATAATAAAACCTGAATATACTAATTTTGATTAATTTTAATGTAAGAGAAAGATACCATTCCAACAATTTCTTCTCTGCTGCCCTCAAAAAATCCTCCAAGGCTTCACCATGCAAATAAAATAAAAAACAAAGGGATAAGGTGCTCTACCAAAAAACTCCAAAAAACAAAACAAAAAAATCCTCTAAAACAATTACTAAAATTAACAGCTTTACAGGCTACTTAACCATTAGAAATATTTTGTTCCGGGCGCCTGGGTGGCTCAGTGGGTTAAGCCACTGCCTTCGGCTCAGGTCATGATCCCAGGGTCCTGGGATCGAGTCCCGCATCGGGCTCTCTGCTCAGCAGGGAGCCTGCTTCCCTCTCTCTCTCTCTGCCTGCCTCTGTCTACTGTGATCTCTCTCTCTGTCAAATAAATAAATAAAATCTTAAAAAAAAAAAAAAAAAAAGAAATATTTTGTTCCTAAACAACAAAAAAATTTAAGTTCCGTAAAAAACAAACTAAATTGCTCATTCAGTAGAGAGAAACTCAGCTCTGGGAAACAAGGGTTGTATTCTATTCAAATTTCTAATGTCAAATACAAATAAATGTGCTCATCCTAATGAATTATACATTTAAGAATCACAATATTTAATTTAAAAGTTAAATAACTCAAAATAAGTTTACTTCTAAATAGTTCACTTAAACATTTAAGCATTTTAAATATTACCAAATATTTTAATGCCTACCTTTTAGGCATGAAAATAAGCATAATCTGTAATCATACATATTTGTGAAATAATGTTATATGCTAGGCATTAGATACCTATAAAGACCAGTTTCTTACCTTGAGAAAATTACATTCTATCCAAATAGGATACAACATCCTTTTTTCTCTCAATTCATGTTTTTGTTAATTTTTTTTAGCTAATTTGGTTTTTGTTTTCTCTTTAATAACTAAGTAAAACTTAGAGAAGGCATGCAATCTCACTGTGAGAACTTCGCAATGGCCTGTGTAACTTTAACCAAAGGATAATGAGTGTTTTAAGGATTACATACTCTGATTTTCAGAAGCATTATCTTGTTGCTTTGGAGTTTATCATGAGCAATCAGAGAAAAATGGAAGGAGAACACATTTTCTGTTTCTCTATATACATCCATAGTAAATAACATTTGATATCTGTCCCTGCTTCCCAATAAATGAGAAAAACCAAAATATGTTGACCTAAAAAGTCTATTACCACAGCAAGCTATATAGGAAGAAAACAAGAATTTATATATTCAAGAAATAGGAATCTAAAACTTCCACTAAACTAAATTTAAGTCAAGGCATTTGATTTATCATACTATAAAAAAATTCGATGGAGACATCATTCCTATTCACCCAGAATTTTCTTATAAGATCAATCTTAAGAAAAATACATAAGCATAAATACATAAGAAACATAAATACAGTATTTACACACATGCACACACACGCACGCACACACACACACACACACACACACACACACACATATACATCTATATAAACAGACACATATATACATGGCATAACTGAGTTGGTCTATATTCATCTCAATTTTCTACAACATTATTACCGCAATATGGTATAGAAGGTTTTTAAAATCTTGAAACCATGGCAAAATTAAATCATACTCAATTTAGTTTTCACATAAAGTGTATTTTATTGCAAGCATGCAGCTGGTAACTCTCCAGACACAAAATGCTGAATTAACTGTTATATCTTCTCCTGAAGCATTCTGGATAAATAACAACAATAGTTTAGGAATGTACAGACTAGAAAAGTTACTTCCCAATCCATTACATTCTATTACATCAATCCATGTCTGGCATTTGCATTCTTCAACTAAAGACTAATGTTTCCTTATCTTGAGCTCTAACTTGCTTGTAATTTGCCTAAGTCTGGTTGCTTTTTTCCTGGGTTCTAAAGACGCATATAGTTCATTTACTCTTGTTACCCTCTGGTCCGTGAATGGGGCAGAGAGACTGGCCCGGTGAACTGCATGTACATATGACCTATAAGAGTTGAATACAGGAAGGAAAAAGAAGGATAATAATTGAAAGTAAAATAGACCTTGACTCAGATCTGAGTTGTAGTCCTCCATGGCACTAATTTGCTGCATGACATTCAAGTTATATTCTCTCTCTAAATCTTACCTATCATAATACTACTTGGGACAAGATACCAAAAAAGTATATACTTCTAGAGATATCCAGGGGTCTACAACATCAATTCTGGCAGAATGTGTTTACAAGTTTCTAATTGTACCTGCTCCTTGCCTATTTACTTCTTTTATGGTTCTCCATTTTCATTCAATTACGTTTTCTAAAATCCCTATTTAGAACCATTTCTTAGTTACTAAACACCCACTCAGTCAATTAGACTAATCCTACCTACACTGAAAGATGAGGAGTATCTCTGAAGTATCTCCAGAAAACAGAGGTTCTTTGGAAATATAATAAAACCTGAATATAGTAATTCAGTAAATAGAGGTACTGTTTTCTGGAGTGCCGGGCTAGCTACTAATATAGGCTTAGAACTTGCCTGATCACTTGCTCCATCTCCCTCATCTGATTTTCTAAACCACCTACAGGATATTACTGTTTTACTGGCTTAAAACAAAGTAAGTTCTTCTTACTTAAAATAAATTAAAAAGAAATTAAAAGTGTTTAACATATTACAATGTATTCCTTTTCAGTATTATTACTTTTTGACAGGACTTGAACAGTGATTTCTTAACAAGACCCTTCATATTTAATATTCACACGCTTCGAGGTAGACATCTGTCCCAAAATGTTAATAATACACTTTTTCCCACATATTCTATAATATATAATAACACTTCACCCAATATTTCATGAAAATAAAAACTCTTCAGAAAATGAAGGAAACCTACATTTTATGATCCGTTGAGAAGGTTTGAAAACTAGCCATAATTTCAAGCACCATAAAAAATACACACCCCCTTTCTTCAAATAAATATTAATGGCATAAATAAAACAAAAACCAACTATTCAGAGTAAGTAAATATTAAAGTATATACCATGTATACCTACCTAGCAACAGAATACATAAAGAGAAAATCATTGTCTGGTGAACCTGGGGTCTTGCTATAGTCTCTATACTTTTTCTGAGTAGTATTTTTGATATCTTTCATTACAGATTCCATTTCTTTACTTAAGTTGGTTTCTGACTGTAAAAAATGCAAACATACATATCAAGTTTATTCATATTCATTTTCTCTAAAATAGTCCAACACTACAATGTTTATCATATGAATTCATTAGGAAATTAAAAGTTAAAAAGTTAAAACAGATGTACATTAGCTATCCACTATAAATATACTTAGTGCACAAAGATAAAATAGATCAAGAAATATCTTCTCCTATTTTATCCTAATTCTATATTGTGATTGGTTAGCCTATAATCTAACCATGAATTAACCACACAAGCCTACATTCTAAAGAAATGAGTAGATGTCATTAAAATAATATTTTAGAACAAATTCCATGTTGATAAGCAATCTTTCATTTACATTCTCTTCTCAAAGACTAATATTGATGTCCCTTGCTTTGAGCATATTTTAAACACATAAAAATTCGGATTTACCAAGGGAAAAAAAAAAATCACAGATTCTAAAATTAGTCTTCAACTGAGAAAAGAAACTGTGAGGAGAGAAATCTTTGAGTAGCATTTAACTATGAATTTCTGTTTCAAAAGTCAAATATTAATAGTTTTCATAAATTCGCTGCTTAAACTAGGCACAGTTATCACTTCTTTCAGATACTATATCCTAAATCTATGATGAAAGTGAAATATTTAAATATTTAAATCAAATAAATAAATCCTACTGGATGGGATAAAAGATGGGTTCACTTACACCAAATCCCACAATAAAGTAGACTGACTTCAGTGAATGGTTCAATCAAGTATATGATATTTTATCTCATACACACACACATAAATTGTACATAAATCTATAATTACATACATATAAAGTGTGTGTGTGTGTGTGTGTGTGTATAAATGTATCATCTTAATCCTAATATACCTAATGGGCATATTTTTAAATGATTAGACTATGTTTTTAAAGATTTCAACATCTTACAGAGTCTAACCATATCTAAGCTTATAGAACTTCATGATCTGGAAGAAGTATATTAAAACTACAGCAATTTGGACTAAGGAAAAGTATAGCCTTTGGTAATAATTTGTTCCATTATCATTTTTGTTTTTAGTAACCACAAATAGAAGAGAAAAACATCTAAAAGTAATTGCTGATAAATGTTTAAAGGTTAAAAAAAAAAAAAGATTCAAAGGTCCAGAGTAACTTAGAAAGGAATGAAAATGAAAGGAACGAAAATGAGAGCTGAAAGCAGAGCTGAGTTTACCAGGATATTTCTGCCTTACACTGATGCTTACTGGGAAAGCTCCCGGCCGTCCCTGCAGCTCTTCCACTTCCTTTATGAGATCTTGTATGCTTTTGTTACTAGGACGTTGCCAAAGGTTACTTTCCACATTGCTCCCAGGATAACAAGGAAGAACACTGTTAGCAAACTGCCTACAGAGAGGACACGTGAATTCTCCTTTGTCCACCGAGAAGCCCTGAAGAACCTGATCATTCTAAAAGATGAAATAAACATACAGATTTATAATGCACTTTATAGAAAACAAAATTTACACCATTACATTTTATAGTAAACAAATGAACCAGGCCAAAAAAGAAAAAAAAGATATCTCTAATATATGTCATAAAAAACATAAAGTCTCTTGATGTAATGAACACAGGCTGTTATATGCAACTGATGAATTACTAAACTCTACCTCTGAAACTAATAATACACTATATGTTAATTAATTGAATTTAAATTAAAAAAAAAAAAGAAAGACGATGTTACTTGAAGAAAAAAAACATAAACAATGTCTCTCATTTGACTGTTGAAGCTTATCAAATCACTTCTTTCAACATGGCAATCATGCAACACATCACCAAGAACTGTTTAAGTATCTTACTCTTCTCTCAGTATGAAACATTCAAACACTGAGGCAATTAATGTGTAATATAGATTTAAGATAGAGAATAACTTAAAAAGGAGGCCACTTTACAGTAGATCACCTTCCCCTTACCCCATGCCCCTGTTTTTATAATCTATAGGTGACCACTGGGAAGATTCTCTCAATGTCCATGTTCCTTGATAGAGAATAGATAACTTCTGAGAATAAATCAAGCCTAAAAAATGTGGTATGTCTTTGTCTGTCAAACACAACTGACTGGACTTTATGCAGTGAATCTGTTTAGCTTTAATGGATAGGGGAAAGATTCAGTTAGAGTATTCAGAATGTAAGTGTGATATGAGGGAAATTAATGTAATACCTTTCCTTCAGATATTTCTGATAGAAGAAGAGAAAACAGAATTGTTTAAACATAGACACATATGCATATGTGCCTACGAGGAAATTCTTACTCATGAGAGCCTGCTATACATGCTAACTAACTAGAGGACTAAAGGCAGGAATCCAGACTATTACATCTGTTCCTTTATTTTGCCTGAAACCACCACACAGTCATTTTGCTCTTTTAGGCTATTACAATTGTGTAGTCCTAACCATTATTTCGCTCTTTTTCCCAGCAGTTTCTTTCTTACTCTGCCACTAACCTAATGCTTTATTTCAAAATATGTTTTAATGCATTAATGTATATGTATGAATGCTACAATATGAACATTATTACTAACAAACAAAAAAATAAGGAAAGAAGGATACAAAAAGAAGAAAATGAATTTGTCTATGATTACAAAGGTAATGACAATATTAGGAAGAATTTAATTTTCCCACTCTTAATTCAGTGCTCATTTCACTATATCTTAGGTCTCAAATACTTTGACTAAAAAACCAAATTCTACTTTTTTTTTTTTACTTTTTGACATTTATTTTTTTCAAGTTCTTAAAAATGAAACACCACATCTTTTTAAATCCAATTCTGCAAATATTTACTAAGCTCCTATCATATGTCAAATGCTATGCCAGGTAAGGGCATAAAGACTTAAGGTACATCTTCACGTAAGGTACTAACAATATAAAAGCAAACAGAAACAAATAAATTATAATGATAGCATGAAAAATACAAAAGAGAAGGCTTCTCAGAGAAGACTTGTGAGCTAACTTTTAAAGATACACAAGAAGGGTATATAGAAAGTTGGGGTGAGAGTCCTGATCATTGAAGGACATTCTATAAGCTCCCCTACAGCCTTAATTTTAAAGAATGCTAGATCCTTGTCCTTGCCTTGATTGAAACTACATTTTTTCTTGAAGCCTCCCCAGAAGCCTTCTCACACCTCACCCCTCACACCTCAGTATTCTTCTCATCTCTAGTACTGGCTTAGGATCTTTACTCTTGCATTCTCCCATCTTTGTGGCTCATATCATTTAGGGATATCACACTTTTCCTTCCTTTTTACTGTCATCCACTGCCCTCAGTCACTGAAGACTTTGGTTTTCCTCATTGCTCCAAGACCTACGACCCTCTTATGCTAATTCAGTGAGTATGGGAACAAGCAATCTTGTATCTTAGTCCATCAGCTTTTTGACCTCATTAGCTCCTATGGCACTGACCTCCACCTACCTGTTACACCATGACCTGTTACCTGTAACCATGACCACCCCCTTATACTAAAATGACCCAAAATTGTCCATATCTAAAAATATTAAATCCAAACAGCTTACAGTCTGATTGCCAACTGCTTTCTCCTCTTTTAGTTCCCTCCTTCTCTCTCAGTTTATCAAGACTTTCCTATTCTGCCTATACACCATGATGTACCACTTCAAAAACTGGTCAATACTTCTCATTCACCCTCCATATGTCCTTCCATCATACATACCCTATAAAACCTTCATACAAAATTAATCCAGTGGATAACTTCTCTAATTCTGTACTCAAATTAAGTGTTGTTAAAGAAGACTGAAGTAACTTCTTGCTACAAGCTGTTTCCACCTCAACTGAGGCCTGAATACTTCCAGGCAATCTTTCTCCAACACCCAATGAAGAATTCTCACCCAATTCCAAAGCGGTTTTTCCTTTTCACTTCTCAAGTCCCGTCACCTATCCCAGCCTCGCTTCCTTTACTCTAGAAGCATAAAGCTACATCTCCTACCTCAGAAAGAAGAGAAACATGACAGTTCCTTCAGCTTTCTGCCTTCTTCCACTCCAATATTTACTTAATGAATCCCATAAGTCCTTCCATCCACTTTCTCTCTTCTAGTCTCTTTGCTAGTATCTCCTAACTAGTCTTCCAATCACACTGTTGCCACTATGATCCACCTAATGTGAGACTCTTACTCCCAATCAAAATCTTTCAGTGATCACAATTATCTCTCACCTTGATTCCTTCCTCCTTCTTACATTCCACATGTCATCTCTCACCAAGTCCAGACTTCCTCTAAATATATTTCAAAGCTCTAAGCTCTTCTCCATCTCCAGTGTGATGACTAAGCTCAAGCCACTATCATCTTGTACCTCCTGAATATCATCACATTCTTTCTAACTCTACTGCAATCCCACAATAATCCCCTACCATCTACAGAGCTGCCACAATGACCTTTCTGAAGATGTCATAACTCTATTTAAAAGTCTTTAATAACTTTAGTGGCTCTCTGTAAAGAACTTATCTAAATAAAGTTCAATTTCCTTACACCAACTACAAGGCCCTTTACAGTAAGACCTCTAAATACTTTTTCAGTCTTACCTCTCATCACTCAAGCACCATACTTCATCAAATGTTCTGGCATTCAGGAGAAGTTCCAGTAACACTTAACACATATACTGCAACTGTCTATTTATTCTATCTCATGCAAGGCATAGTAAACCCCTGGAAGGAAGGAACTGTTTCTTATTCACTGCTGAATCCCCAATGTCTATCACAGTATCTGGAACACTATAGACACTAACTAAAATATTTGTTGAATGAACGAATGCAGATGTATGAAAAATGCATAATGTTCTCAAGAAACTATTAAGCAGTTTATTAATGCTGAATTGATGAAAGATAAAGATAAAGCAATAGGCAAGCCCAGATCATGAAGTACCCTGAATACCATTCAAAGAAGAGTGAACTTTACCCCATTAGGAAGAATTCAATAAAGGATTTTTAAGCCAACGACATATGTCATCAGATTTACATTTTAGAAAGATCAATGTAGTGAATAAATTAGACTTAGAGTAAGGAAACTGATAAGAAAGGAACTGCAATAGTCAAGATGAGAGATGAAGGCATACACAAAAATGAAGAATAATGAAAAGTAGAATACAGTCAAGTGATACTTAAGAGACAGAATAAGTAGAATTTACTTAGTGACTAAATGTGAGAGGTAAGGATACGAAGGGAAAAGTAGGAATCCACTCCTTTTAAGTTGGGAACTGGGAAATAAGAAGGCCATCCTTTTAAGAGGCTGAGCTGAGAAAAAGAAAAACTGCAGCTACAGGGGAATGCAAAGTCAAGGGAAGAAATTCAGAATGAGAGGGACCTTAGCATCTTTATAAATTGAAAAAAAGGACAGAATAGGCAGAAAAACTGAAGACAGAAACAAAAAAGAAGTTACCTTCTAATAGATAAAGGCCCCTGAGGTGAAGAGGAGAAAGGAATACTAGAGCATCAACAGGAAAATTATTCCTGAACAGAAGAAGGAATACTATCTCAAAGAGTAAATAAGAAAGGATTGGTTGGGATGCAGACTTATTTGTCAGGGAATAGATAAGCAAAGCAAGAAGCTAAGCTTAGTATGTGACAGAAAGCCACACTGTTTTCTTGGTGACAAAGAAAGAGATAGAATCTGATGAGAGAAAAGGGATCTTGGAGTTCAGGTGAAGAGCTTGGGATAGGGGAGCAAAGGATTGGAATAACTGCTAAAGATACTAGGAGAGGAAACTAATCAAAGGTAGGTAAATGAATTGATAAGTAGTATCCACAGTTAGTAACCCTAGTTTAAGCTGCTATTATACAGGAAACCACAAAATTACAGACATACCACTTCACTTAGTTTTATGATTTTTCTGGCAGGACTAGCTGTCTGGGTCTCAAATCAAGGCAGGAGGATTAAATGACTGCTATTCAGAGCAGAATAGGCATAGTACAAAAAAAGTGAGGCTAGGAAAGAACTAATGCTGGGAAATATACAAAGGGGTAAAGGACTAGAGATCTTGATGTCAGAAGCAAACACACTAATGAGAATGAAAATAAGAGAATCTGAAGGATAATCATATAATAAAATGATATTGTAGGATATTTTAAAGCTTAATATTTCAGAGCTAGAGTAGCAAAGTCTAAAATTACTACCATGGAAATCAATTTCTAAAGTGATATAAAAAAATGAAATCCCTAAAGCTGAAGAGGTCAAGGAACCACAAGGCTGCATAGTTCAAATGGCAATCAAAATCACATAAAATGAGACACTCAGAATGTACAGTGTGGGGGAGGAGTCAAGATGGCGGAGAAGTAGCAGGCTGAGACTACTTCAGGTAGCGGAAGATCAGCTAGATAGCTTATCTAAAGATTGCAAACACCTACAAATCCAACGGGAGATCGAAGAGAAGAAGAACAGCAACTCTAGAAACAGAAAATCAACCACTT